TTCTGAACTGAGAAAGAGCTATTTAAGTGCATTGATAGAAAGGGGCAGGACAAGATCGGTTTTCAATAAGTTTTAGCTGCTTCTAGATTATTTGGCTAATTTCTGGAGAAGCATGCTGTATTCTGCCCATACCTAGTCAAAATCTGATAGAATGTACTTACTTCTCTCATTTACCCATCCCTGTCTTTCCCCTTCTATTTAATTTCCCAATTGCATTACATGAATCTGAAAATCTGAAGCATACAACTATATTTCTGCTAAATGCTCCAAGTTAAATGTCTCTGACTTGCAGAATTCCATCATAAAATGATTCTGTTCCATTATTTATATATTGTCTGTAAATATATCTCCCTTCCAAAATGGCTGAGACAAATCTTTCTCTATACTTATATGCAGTAATCTAGGAAAACTGTTTCCATATAAATAAATAACTCCTGTACCTTTACAGAAATAAAAAAAACCCCTCCAAACTTTGTTCTTTTTACTCTAGGAAAAAATGAGAGACACTTTAACACGATTCCTCCTTCAACCATTCTCAAGACAATTCGTCCACACTATTCTGAATATTTTCCTAACTATTCAGATGTGAACGTACTATTCACATGGGCGTGTTTAAAAATCTGTAAATTTATAAAATACACAGAAAACCTCCTGCCAATTAGCTTTGGTATTTCTGGCTAATAACTAAGTACATAAAACCTACCAGCCAATCAGTGCTTTGTAACTGATCATTAACTATGTGTCTCATTTCACCACTCAGGTCCACACCTAAACATGCAAACGTCTCCTTTTCTATAAATATAAAAGGTAATAAATCACTTGGAGTTTCTCATGTGCAAAATGTTCCATTGTAGGGACAGGATTTTCTGGGAAACTATTCCATTTTAATTCTAGTTCCCATTGATCTAGCCCAGTAGTTCTCAACCTTTTTAATGCTGTGACCCCAACTGGTTGTAAGTCGAGGACTACCCAACCGGTCGTAAGTTGAGGACTATCCAACCGACCATAAGTCAAGGACTTTCCCTACCCGGGAGCGCCGCGCATGTGTGGTGCCACCCCCTGCGCCGGCCGAGGCGTAGCTGGCAAGCGGCAGAGACAGCGCAGGCCGACCACCAGCTGGGCCACCAGCTGGCCTAGCCCAAGGGAGGTAAGGCACCCGCCGGGCCCTACGCATGCCAGCAACCTTCCCTGCGCCCGCCGGCCTCCCACCTCCCACCCCTGGCCCTCTTTTACTTACATTTTTAGTAGTTGCTCAGCAGGGAGGGATGGAAACTTCCAGACAGCTTGCCTTCGCTGCAGACAACTTGCAGCACCATTTGCAGAATGGGACTTTTGTCAGGCTCAGCAGGGCAGAGACAGTCTGGACAATTCCTATTGGCTTTCAAAAGCCAATAGAATAAAAGGGAGTAGCACAGCTAAGGAAAAGGGGGAAAAAATGGCGGACTGCGTTGTTTGGCGACCCCCGTGAAATGGTCGTTCGACCCCAAATGGGGTCCCGACCCACAGGTTGAGAACCGCTGATCTAACCATTCTATGGGTGGTCCTGGCTGTTTTATTTTTAATGTTAAACAGGAGGTGATTTGATCAGTTAGACATGTTCCAGCTTCCAAATAGAACATTTTGCATGGTGGCAAAGCTTTTCCTTTCTGATGCTGACAGTTCTGTATGTGGGCTTCTTTCCCTAATCATGGCAGCACCCAGGTGATTCCTAGGAGAAGGAAAGTGACATGAATAAGGAATTTCTTCTAATAAGAACAAAGAGTCCCACTTCAAACTCATTGTCACTTTCAAAACAGCATTTTAAATAACCAAATTATCCTGTTTTAGATAAATTGAATGGAAGCCCATCTCCCTAGAGAAGGCTCTAATGCTGGGAAAGATGAAAAGAAAGAGAAGATGATATCCAGCAGCAAGGTTGATAGACTGAGTTACAGTGGCAATGAGTGCACTTTTGGACAACCTGAAAGACCAGGTTAGGATTGTCATGGAAAAAATCAACGAAGTTGCTAAGAGTCGACAATGACTTGATGGCTCATATTCAGTCAACCATAATTGCAAAACTGTGGCTATGTCATATGATGGAGGGAGGGGGGCGAATCACTTTGTATGAGTATCAACCTGCACCTTCATCTACACAAAACGGAGGTAGATACATCAAAGAACTAACGTTTTTCTAACAGGTAGTATTTGGACATTTCAGGATGTATTTGTTTTTTTAAAAAAAAATGTGAGTTTGTGTGTGTGCATATGTACATGCTGTGTACAAAGCTTTCATCCACTAGGATTATAAAGGAATTGTTTTTCAGATCATACTGGAAGCTCATTCGGATATTGTTCCTGGCAGATTCTATGAACAAAATCTACATGTGTCTTTTCTGTTAAAACAAATCTGACTTTTTAAAATGTATCTTGCCCTTTTCATACCTTTGACAATAAAAAAAAATATCATACATACTTAGAGCAATGTGAGCCAATTAGCAGAGAGACTGTCTCTTCTGATGGCCTGTGGAGCAACATAATAGGCCCAAAGAAGTGAAACACAGGCTGGTTATTAAAGAATGATGACAATGTCCAGATTGCCAATGCTAAACCATGGCTAATATAGATGAGATTGCAGAAAAGTCATACTCCATCTTTGATATTGCTTCTGCAGTTTATCTCTCTTTGGTTAGCTTTATATACAAAATAAACATCAAGAGACCCAAGCTACTATACTCAATATAGTGCCACAGTCCTGACAAATAAATCTATTTGTATTTAATACATGTTTTTAAAGAATATGTAAAAATCACCGTAATTTAGTGGATAAGGAGTTGGCCTAGGACTGGAGAGATCCAAGGTCTAGGCCAAGGCTTTTCAACCAGTGGTACGGGTACCACCTGTGGTACATTGGTACCTGGAAAGTGGTATGCGGCCATCCTAGAAAAGTGGTAGCAGGGGAGGGGAATGAGCTGAACCAGTGGCAGCATTGCACAAGCCTGAGCGAGAGATGGCTGGAGCTGCAGGGCTGTCAGGGCTCAGTAGAAGTGCCAGGATCAGCGCTTCTTCAGGGCTGTCAGGGCTCAGTGGAAGTGCCAGGATCAGCACCAGGCTCCAGCTGGAGCTCAGCACTGGTCCTGGCACTTCTGCTGGGCCCAGAAGAAGCACCGATCAGCTGGAATGTTGCAACATCTCCAGAGTCTTGTCATTTACATTCAGATGCTTGGCAACTGATTCATATTTATGATGGTCACAGTGTCCCATGGTCATGTGAAGTGACCAAAACTTGCTGCAAGCACCCAGCAGACAGGAGGAATAAAAACCAACCCCCCCCCCGCATCCCCACTGCCAATCCTCAACAGAAATGCTCACAACAATGAAAACCTCAGACAGGAGGAAGAGCACCGCCGGGTGGGCGGGCAAGTGTCTTGCTCGGCTGTGGCTTGGAGGGTCTTTTTCTAGTGCAGTGGTTCTCAACCTTTTTAATGCCGCGACCCCCAACCGGTCATAAGTCGAGGACTACTCAACAGGTCATAAGTCGAGGACTACTCAACTGGTGCAGCACCGTTTGCAGAATGGGACTTTTGGCGGGCTCAGCAGGGCAGAGACAGCCTGGACAATTCCTACTGGCTTTTGAAAGCCAATAGAATTAGATTCTATTCAAGAGAGTCTATTCTATTGGCTTTCAAAAGCCAATAGAATAAAAGGGAGTAGCACAGATAAGGAAAAGGGGAAAAGAAAATGGCAGACTGCGTTGTTTGGCAACCCCCGTGAAATGGTCGTTCGACCCCAAATGGGGTCCCGACCCACAGGTTGAGAACCACTGTTCTAGTGGCATTGTAACTTCGAACAGTCACTAAGCGAACTGTTGTAAGTTGAGGACTACCTGTACTTTATCACTTTTTTCCTTTTGGGCGGGGTCATCAAGTTTTTGACACCTTGCTAGGCGACTGGTGGTACTTGGATATTGCCATATCCTAAAAGTGGTACAATGGGTGAAAAGGTTGAAAAGCCCTGGTGTAGGCTACCCTAAACCATTTGAGCTTACTGGGTACCTTTTGGCCAGCTACAGTCTTTGGCTGCATTGTGTTGTCCTAGACCCCTTTCCACCCACCTCCAAGAGTTGTTTCGAGGAAGAAAAAGTAGAGCAGGCAGACACTAACTAACCACGAGTGCTAAGCAAGACTGGTAATTAGGGAAAAAAGTAAAAAACAGCAATGACAAATATTTCTATATAATTCTCAAACATATACATGCCAACAAAATCATCACAATTTTGAACTTCCCTCTTTTCAAAAAGCCTACTGGACCCAACTGGTTTGCCTCAGTTGCTCTGAGATTCTTAATAAATAAATAAACAAATATTTTAGAAGGGAACATGGGGAAATTGACATTAAAAAAAACTCCAGCCAGGATGCCAAAAGATCTTGTCAAAGTAAAAGACAATCCAAAATAAATACAGGGATGCCAATTACTGAAATCCTTTGCTAAAGACAAAGATTAAGTGTTCTCCTCACAGTTTTCTCTCTCTCTTTTTCAACAAATTAACCTCTTTAGGTGATGATGAATATATATGTTTTTTAACCTGTTGTTCATACACAAGAATGTGTAAGACACGTAGTATCATTGTAACTTAGTGGGAAGTCATAGAAAACTGCTTGGATAGTGCATGAATTTTCCTCTCTATCTTTCCTCAGATTAAACACCAACAAAATTAGTGGTGGTCAAAATGTTCACACACTACAGAAATGTTCTACTTCACTTTCATATTCAGGAGAGGTTATGTCATCTCAAATTCTTCTGGAAGATGTGCACTTTGCAATCCCTGGACACAAGAACCTTCTCTCCTGGAAAAAAAAGGCATAAAAGCAATGCCTTTTGGGAAGCACGCCACTTTATTATATAAAATGAAGAACAAATGCCAGGGCTGAAATCTGATCTTGCAGAATCCAAAATGCTGTCCTTCCTCTTTGGCAAGGATCCCAGCTGGTCCCAGTTTTTCATATAAATTGGGCCTCCTCCAACCCACAAGGTGGTTACTGAAGGAAAGTTCTGTCAGAAGATATGAGAGAGAACAAAAAAGCACAATATGCCACAAATATGCACCATTCGCCTACGAAAAGCCTGCTGTTCCTCATGTCTACTGTGTGCATTTGCTCCAGCCATTCCGCAGTTTCCCGACTACGTTTCTCTACGTTCCTGGATCCCAAACACCAGACATACCTCCGATGGGACTATGATGATGAACTTGCCATTATGACTTTTGAGTTTCAAGCCCAGTCAACTGGCTGGGTGGCTTTTGGTTTCACCATTAATAAGGAGATCCTTGGAGCAGACTTCGTGATTGGCGGTGTTCTTCCTGATGGCAACATCTATTTCTCAGTAAGATTAAATCGAGAGTACTGTTTCATTAGGAGCTTGGCTCTGTGTACAGAATTGAGGAGGGAAGAGGAATAATTTGTAATTTGAAGTTAAAAATGAATTTAGAGATGATTGTTTCACATGACCAGTGAGATAGCTGCAGTATCACTTATGAACTGCTAAGGCCACATGAGATGGGCGGTTCAGAAATGCAAAATATAAATAAATAAATCCCTGATAGCTTCTGCTGTTTGGTCTTGCTCAGTTTATGTTGGAAGGCGCAGAAATAATTATTTTTGAGGCATAATTTGAGCTTGAAAAGCAATGCTCCCCCAAACCTCAACAAAATCCTTCTTTCTTTAAAGGAGACAGGGAAATGCCCATATTTATTTTGTCTGGATAGGATTTTTTTTCCTATCCAGAAACTATTCATTTTATTACTGAATCTTGTGAAATGGAAAGTCTGGGCCACCAGCCACATCTACAAAATTTCAGAGCCAATTATTATTTCTTGAGTTTCAGGATGACTTTTTTCATTGTAATAACAAGAGATATAGCTTCTTCCTACCAAATTACATGCTAATTTTTGCCCTTAACCCTAACAACATAAAGTATTTTTGTAAAGTGTGTATACAAATACACACACAGACACACACACACATGTACATCAATGCAAGCTAATTCCATATTTAATAGCCAGATGCAGTATTTTACTTCAATTATTCAATTATTATACACACTACTTCCTTCTGCCTACCTATAGCAATCTTGCAGCAAGATCAATGAGATAGGAATATAATGACTGGCCCAAGGTCTCCAAGGAAGTTCATTCTGGCAATGGTTTCTCCAGCTGGATGGTCTCTCATCCAAGTAATGGTCTCTTCCTCTATCCATCGCAACATATTCTTGAGTTCTTCCTGTTTCACTCAGGATTGGCATGGTGTGAATGAGAATACCATCTTGGAGGATGAAAGGCAAGACTATGAGCTGCTATCATTGACCCAGGATGCAACGTCCACCACCCTGGCATTCAGGCGACCGTTCCGGACATGCGATGAACATGACCTGGACATCACAGTAAGCAAGACAATGGGACCTGTTTTATTTTGTTTTTCATCCCATCTTTATTATTTTTATAAATAACCCAAGGCAGCAAACATACCTAATATCCCTTCCTCCTCCTTCCCTGTGAAGTGAATTGGGTTGAGAGAAAGTGACTGGTACAAAGTCGGCTTTCATTCCTAAGGTGGAACTAGTATTCAGAGTCTCCCCTGGTTTCTAGCATAATGATAAGTAATAGCACAAGCAAGGACACGAAAACAAAAGACACAAAGAAACAAGAATTTGCTACAACAAAGTTTGAACTGCCTTTGCTTGTTGCACTGAGAGAACCTAATATATTTTCCTTCTTTTTAAAACCAAGGAGAATTTCAGGTGTTAACTCATAAAGGTGATGAGTATTATTGCATAACACAAATAACAATTGAAACATCTTGTGCAGTAAAAAATGCAGAATAGTTATCTTTAGAAGTCCATTCAAAGTCTGAAATCACGCTTAAAATGAAATGTTGGCAGAGGGGAAGCAGTTGTTTTGAGACTCCATCTAGTACAGGGGTTCTCAACCTTGGCAACCTTAAGACTTGTGGACTTCAACTCCCAGAATTCCTCAGCCAGCAAAGCTGAGGAATTCTGGGAGTTGAAGTCCACAAGTCTTAAAGTTGCCAAGGTTGAGAACCCCTGATCTAGTAAATGCAGATAGTTGTTCTTTGAGATATAAAATAGTGTGGATGGATTGCACCTGCAGGCACGGGCCTGTGATAATTTACCTCAGCCAGCTCGCCATGGCCAACTCACCACAGCATAACGTGCTGTGGGACAAGCGTTACACTAACACTGAAGAAATGGTGGAATAGAATCATTAAAAAAAGGATGCCAAAGGAGGAACAGAAGGAGATGTGAAGGACAAAAATTAAAATATTTTTTTCATTATTTTAAATAATTAAATTGAATTGTTAAATTATCCCATGGCGAGTTGTCCCGCAGCGAGTTGGCTGTGGCAAGTTGTCCCATGGTGAGTTTTCCTGCGGTGAGTTGGCTCTGGTGAATTGTCAGAGTTGGCCGCAGCAAGTTGGCTCTGGTGAGTTGTCCCATTCCGTATGCATCTTTACTCCATCTCTTTGCCACTTGCAGGGCAAATAAAAGAGCTCAAACCACGTTCCCACTACTAAACAAAACAACTGAAAATCTAAGCCACACATGGACACATATTTTCATAGCTGCATTGTTCCACTTCACCCATCCCCTCAGTGCTAGTGTTTAATTGTTTGGGACAATTCTTTGTTTCCATACTAGCCCAAAATCCTCTTCTGATATATCCTTGTCAGCACTGAAGTGGGTACAAAGCTCTTATTTTAGTGGTAGTGGTATTCATTTATAGTTATATTTTAAAACCATGAAAAGAAAGAACAATCTTATTGAGGTTTTTTTAACAAAGGAAAAAGAGAATGTATGTATCTGAAATGGTATAGGTCAGTGGTGGCGAACCTATGGCACGTGTGCCACAGGCGGCACTCAGAGCCCTCTCTATGGGCATGCGCGTCATGCCCCAGAGATGGCGACTGTCCCTCTTCAACCAGCCACCTGCTAAGTAGCCGAGGTCCCACATGGCCGGATGCATCCCGGCATGGCTGGTTTCCCTCCCCCCCATCCCGTCCCTCTTGGCCTTGCATGCTCTCCTTTTTCTGGGCACAACCCACTGCATCGCCTCCTCAGCTATCGGCTGGCCATCCATCTCAGAGGCGGCTTCTTTGAACTGCTGGCAGCGGGCTGCAGAGCTCCAGAGTGCACTGGTCAAGGGGCCAGCAGGCTGTGGCTGCTGATAGATACCATCGGCCCCCATGTGCTCACTGGCCTCTGTATGTGGGGACCAATGGTGTCAGGCAGCAGCCGCCCCTTGCCTTGCCCCATGGCAATGGTACCCCTGCCCTGCTGTGCCTCACCCTGCAGGATGAGCCTCCTGCCTACCGCCCCACCTACCAGAGACCACTTGGATTTCCCCCAACCCTGCCCACCCCCACAGGTGTCCCTCCCCATGAGTAACATTAAGGTGACCATGCCCACCTTGGCCACATCCACCCAATCTGCCATGACCACCACAGCCACGCCCACCCAATGTGCCACGCTCACCTGGCACCCGACGATAAATAAGTGGATTTTGGGTTGCAGTTTGGGCACTCGGTCTCTAAAAGGTTCGTCATCACTGGTATAGGTTCTCCTGTTTGAGCAGGGGGCTGGACTAGAAGACCTCCAAGGTCCCTTCCAGCTCTATTCTGTTCTAAGAATACATTGGTTAAAGAGGTTTCTATGTATGTGGCTGGCTGAGAACCCAAACAATGGGAAGAAGATCTAATCAATGGTTATGATCTCTGCCCTGATCCCTAAAAAGGATAAGGAAATAAAATGCCCACCAGACTCTTATGTCTAAATGAGAACGTGTGCTCCTGCCAAGAAATCACTGAGCAGCAAAAGATAACAGGCAATCCATGGAAGGAATGGGACCACCGGGTTGAGGGCTATTGTTTCCACGGAGAGCAGCAGCAAGGATAATTCCCTTCCCCAAAGTAGCTCAAAGACCCCACAAGTCTTTCACAGACAATAATCACATCTTCCTTGAAGAGCTATTGCTCCTCTCCCAATTTCTCTTAGGCAAATGCAGGTCTGGTGCCATGGTGATGTATGTTTCTGTTTTCTACAGAAAAGGTCTTCCTAAGGATGAATGGATTTAAGCAGCTAAATAGTCCAGGTTCATTTAAAAGTTCTGAGCTGCATTTTCATATTAGTTAGCAAACCTGCCATATGCCTGGGAAGTATCTCTTAGGCTTGAGATACATAATGGTATAACAAGTAAAATACAAATGAAGCAAGTATTGAGGAATCAGTGTGGGTTTTAGAACAGCCTTTGCGGGGATCAAAATATTGGATATGCAATGGATGTCAGTTAAATTGGTTAATTCGTTAAATAATTAAAGGTTAAACTACCGGTAGTTCTTCAGTGAACTATTAAACAAAATTAGTTCTTACTGCAAGTTTGGGATGCTGAAGATATTAGAAATTTCAGAATACCAGAGTTGGAAGGGACTTGGAAGTCTTCCAGTCCAGCCCCCTGCACAAGCAAGAAACCCTTTTTGGACAAATGGCTGTCCAATCTTTTCTTTAAAAATTCCAGTGATGAAGCACCCACAACTTCTGGAGGCAAGCTGTTCCACTGATTAATTTTTCTCATTGCCAGGAAGTTTCTTCCTAATTCTAGGGTATTCTGGGATTCTAATAGGCCATGCTTTGCTCTTGTCAGTTTCACAGAGGAGCTCTACAAATGTTTTCTACCTGCGGTTTCCTTGTGTTTCTTCAGTCTCCCAAGTGAGAAGGTCCATAAATAAATCTGTCAGAGTGCCTGCCTATGCACTGAAATCATCATTCCCAGCTCTTGGGCAGACTGGGCTAGGAATCCTAGGAGTAACACCTCCAACACATATGAAGTTACACCTCCAATCCACATATGGATTGGGGAAGATCTGATCTAAGCACCCAAAGGCATTCCTGCCAGAGTGCCTAAATCAGATTCCTTTGAAACTAATATTGACACTTCTTAAATGTTGGTTTCATAAACTGACCACTGTTTCAGCAAATTCTCTGCCCCCAACAGTTCAATTCTCTATTTGATGGCCAATTGCATTAATCTCCACAAAATATCAAATCTAAATGTTGTTAGTATATCAGTATCTGAACGAGGGTGGATATCATCATAAATAGTGCCTGAATTGGGAGAAGAAAGCTCACAAAAGAATTTAATCATACAAATCTGTAAAAACATTAGTATGAATTTATGTCAGGATTTGTATAAATCTGGTGAGAGACAATTGTAGTAGGGGAAAAAATGGTTCAAGATGTTGAAGAACATTATGAAGAATTATTTCTTTGTGACTGCCAGTGAGGGTAAACGTTTAGCGATATGATAGGAGACTTTCCATTTCATTTGTGTCTACACAGGGTGACACACTACGTCTCATGGCTGCATTCGGCACAAATGACACAATTGATTTCTTCAAAGGAAAAATAATCCACAGATCTCTCTTCTTGATGCTAGTGGTAACTAACGAGGAACTGAAACAACCCAGTACCTATCATGTGTACGATCTGAAATTAAATGATGTAAGTATCTAAAATTAAAAGCTCTTGATGGGTCTTTCTATTCCATAGACTTCAATGGTCCTCAGCAGATTGATCTCTTTCATTCATTGGCTCCTTGCTCTGGTGACCACACAGAGCAATGCAAATCTCTTTCAGGGTAAGAATACACAGGCCTGAGATATTTACGGTGTGCCTTGGCTTCTCTTTTCAGTTTCCTATCCCAGAGGATGAGACCACCTATGCCTGTACCTTTCTCCCTTTACCCATTGTCAAGACAAAACATCATATTTATAAGGTAACTGGAAAATCAAGCAGGTGTTCTGCTTGTGAAGTTGACAATTATCCCAGACTGTAAGAACTTTTCACTTGCTGGTATCTTCTTGGTTTCACCTTGTCTTTTTTCTATCCAGTTTGAGCCCATTATAACACCTCGCAATATAACCGCAGTGCACCACATATTAGTCTATGCCTGTGGCAATGGAAGCGTGCTTCCGAGTGGAGTCAGTGACTGCTATGGAGCTGATCCTGATTTTTCTCTGTGCTCTCAGATAGTTGCTGGCTGGGCTGTAGGAGGAGGGGTGAGTATGTAGATCTTCTAAACCAGGTTAAATGGTCCTTATTTCTCATTGAACTAACCCACTGTTGTTTGTAAACCTATTGTATCTTTGGAACACTCTTGCATTTTTTAAGATTTTATTTAATAGCAATTTTGGGGAATGAGGAGGAATTACTCAATATTTTGAATTATCTAGTGCAATGTGATCATGGGGTTTATTCAGCTTGGTTTTCTCCTTGCAGTTGCCAAATTAAATCATATTATCTGGTTTTTGACACAAGGGAGAGAGCTTTTCTGGCTTTTTATGCAGCTTTTCCTAACTATCTGGGTCAGGGCTGTTGTAGTTTGTATGCCTTCAGTCTCAACAACATCAAGATCCCAACATCCCATCCTATGCTACACACCACAGCACTGGTGGCACAGTGGTTAAAGTGCAGTATTGCAAGCAAACTCTGCCCACAGCCTGGAGTTTGAGCCTGATGGGGCTCATCCTTCCAAAGTCAATAAAATGGGGAGCCAGATTGTTGGTGGCAATGTGCAAATAATGCTTTTACACTGTAAATTGTCCAGAGAGTGCTACAAAGTGCTATGGGCGATATATAAGTCTAAGTTCTATTGTTATATTTTCAGTATCAGTTTCATCATTTTCATATAGCTCTTTTCAAGTAACAAAGGGTATTATTCACCACTACAAATTCCTAAAGAATCTCCCATTTTTTCCTATAACTCTAATACATATATTTAAAAGCAAATCCCATTGAGTACATTGAGGCTTTTCCCCTGATAAGCACATCAATCATTGCAGTTGAAGGATTAAATATGCTTTCTCCCATCTGTCAGAAATGTAGTCGCATGGCTGTCAAGTGACTCTCTCTCTCTCTCTCTCTCTCTCTCTCTCTCTCTCTCTCTCTCTCTCTCTCTCTCTCTCTCTCTCTCTCTCTCTCTCTCTCCCTCTCCCTCCCTCCCTCCCTCTCCCTCTCCCTCTCCCTCTCTCCACCCTATTTCCATAAATAAGTCCTACATGTTCCCAGATGAAGCTGGATACTCCCTAGGGACGCCGATTGATCCTCAATGGGTCCGATTAGAAATTCATTACAGCAATTTTGATTTAATTCCAGGTCAGTAAAAGTACATGTGAATTGATTAAGGGAAAAATTAGAGGTACAAACAGGTATCCAAGGCAGAATGGAAAGAAGGACATGTTATCAGGATTCAAAGATTCAAATTCCAGATGAAAAGAAATGAATATCTGTAGGGTACGATTCCTATATCCATAAGGGTTAGACAAACTGAGCAAGAGAAACAAGACTATACCAAAAGCTCTACAATTTCATTTGAGAGATATATAATTTCTCAAATGGCAATCTTACCCAAGGTGAGATATTTGGGGGGGGGGACTGTTTAAATGACAGGAGGCAGAATAGCCAGTTTGAAGATGGATAGATAAGAACATCAGAAGCTTCTATGATTCCATCTAATCCAGCTGGAATTTGTAAGCAAGACATAAAAAAGAGTGGTTTCTGTGATGCTTATTCTGGGTCTCTGATACAATACTGGAATGAGTCTATTGGAGTTGGGCAGTTAATAAATTCAGATAAATAAATGTATGTATTAATGTATGGTTTCTTAACGAATGGAACCCACAAAATTTAGGTAAGTGCTCAAGTGCTGTTTCACTCAATTCTGTTATTTCTTTTTCTTGAGACTTAATTGATAATTCAGGCCTGAGACTCTTCTACACTACGGAGCTTCGTCCATATGACATGGGGGTGCTACACACAGGAATTTTAACATTTCCCATCCATTTCATCCCCCCTCAAGCAGATTCTTTCATGTCTTATGGCTTCTGCAATACCAGTCATTTTCATGAGGTAAGCTTGGCAGCCTTTAGCTGACCCCATCACAATCACCTCTGGTTATCTTTATTGCACTGTTGAGTTCAGGTGCTCATTCTTATCAAAAGCCTACAATAGGTAGGATTCCTTCCTTCCTTCCTTCCTTCCTTCCTTCTTTCTTTCTTTCTTTCTTTCTTTCTTTCTTTCTTTCTTTCTGTTGAGAGTCAATTTGGTGCAGTGTTTAAGATGTTGGAGACCATGAGTTCTAGTTCATCATTAGGCACAAAGTGAGCTGAGTGTCTTTGGGCCAGCCATTGCTTTCTTTCTTTCACCTTCAAGTCTGCATTGACTCGTGGTGACATCCTGGAGTAGTCCCTGCGGTTTTCTTGGCAAAATTTCAAAACTGGTTCACCATATTGTCCATACAGTTGAATAGCTAATTACTTCATTGGAGACTGTTTAGACACACTAGGAAAGGCTTGTAGAATGAAAATTTCCAGGAAGAAGATGATCTGTATATAACTATTGAAAAGCCTTCACCTGCTCAGTATAGTTTTTATTAAACCAGTTAATGTAGTAATGTGGGAGTGATTAACATGCCTCTTGATGAATGCAATTGCCCTGGTTTTCACATGTCCTTCTTTCTAGTGCTCACTGGCTGGCCCAAAGTCACTCAGCTGACTTTGTGCCTAATGCTGAAGTAGAACACATGGTCTCCTGGTTTCTGCATCAGCATCTTAAACATTATACTAGTGGTGGCAAACCTATGGCACGGGTGCCAGAGGCGGCACTCAGAGCCCTCTCTGTGGGCACACGCGCCATCGCCCCAGTCCTAGGCCTTCAGCTGGGTTTTATAAAACCTTTTCGCTTTAGGCCTCCACCACCGTGTGCAAAAAAAAAAAAAAAGGTTCAATCAATCAGTCAATTTCAACTTCTCATGGGAAAAAAAAAGATCTTGCAAAGTTGGAACTGATTGATTGAACTTTTTAGTCCCACCCAGTCTGCTGTTACAACCACAGCCACACCCAGCCAATGGGCCACACCACCCGGCACCCAAAGATGCATAAGTGTGTTTTGGGTTGCAGTTTGGGCACTCGGTCTCTAAAAGGTTTGCCATCACTGCACTATACCAAATTGGCTCTCAATATTAGGCCACTAAAACATTCCACAACAGCCCCTCCTAAGCCTCTTGTCAGAAAACCAGTCTGAGGAAACTGACCATCTGAGTAATGAAGTGGCAGAGAAATAAAACTGCCTGAAAGAATTGGTAAAAATGATGTCTGTGATCCAAGTGTGTTTGGCAGATGAGGTGGAAAGATTTGATGTTGTCTTGATTCAGTGTGATCCTGCTGGTTTCCAGATCTGTCCTAAGCAAAAGCTACCAGGATTGTTTATTGCTTGCTCTCACCATGGAAAACATTGGAAAGAAATGGGAGAGGGAACACTTTTCCAAATGATAGGAAAGTAAAAAAAAAAAATTATTCCAGCTGTTTCTTCTTCCTGTTTCCAGCCACAATCCCCAAGGCTGTGCATAAGTTTTAAAAGAGATCAAGCCACTATTCTTGTGATTTCTGCAAAACATCTAGGTTTGGCCCTTCAGAACAGAGTAGATATGAAGGTACAGTAAATATGTCAACCTGTTGACTAATAACAGAACTGTGATGGATTGAGAGGAATACATGAGTAAGGAAGTTTTATCCTCTCCTCCTCCTGCTGTTCTAATTAAATTTCACCTCCTTCAAAGCTGTGTTTCATCCCAGAAAGGAAGCCCTTATTGTTGCCAGATCACTGGAACTAATAGCAGGCTTGGGAAGGAGAACTATTGTCATCTGAGTGGCAACTCCAAATAAAACTATTAAATTTCTATAACCCTCAAATCATGAGCCTGACATTTAAAAGAAAATACAGATGTTTCTAGGAACCCCTCAAATATTGGAACACTGCTATCATGTCACCCTTAGTCCTTCTTTTCATTAGACTAGACATACCCAATTCCTATAGTAATTCTTCGTATATTTTCGCCTCCAGCCCCCTAATCATTTTTGTTGCTCTTCTCTGCACTCTTTCCAGAATTTCAACATCTTTTTTGTGGTGACCAGAACTGGATGCAGTATTCCAAATGTGGTTTTACTAAGGCTTTGTAAAGCAGTACTAGAACTTCACGTGATCTTGATTCTGTCCCTCTATTAATGCATTGAGGATTGCATTGGCTTTTGGGGGTGCTGCTGTTGGTGAAATATGAACACTGTTGGTTCATATTTAAGTGATTGTCCACTAGGACTTCAAGATCCCTCTCTCAATTACTGGGATTGAGACAAGTTTCACCTAGTCTATACCTATATAGTTGTTTTTTCTTACCTAAGTGTAAAACCTTACTTTTATCTACATTAAATTTCATTTTGTTAAATAGTTCCCAGTGTTCAAGTCAGTCAAAATATTTTTGGATTTTGAACTTGTCTTCTGGGGTGCTGGCTATTCCTGTCAGCTTAGTGTCATCTGTAAATTTGATGAGTTCCCTTTCAATTCCCTTGTCTAGGTTAGGAAGATCTTGAAGAGTGCTGGGGCTCAAATGAAACCTTGGGGTACCCCACTGCTTATTTCACTCCATCTGGATTAAAGACTACACATTGAGTATGATATGTCAGCCAGCTACAAACCCGGCTGGTGGTGGTGCTGTCTATCACTACCACCAGAAGCCAAAAGGCAGCTCATCTGGGAGGCAGGCAGTGGTCCCAGGAGGGCAGGAGGTGAAGCAAGGTGAAGAAGTAGGTAGGATAGATCTGACCTTGCTGGGAAGCCATGGTGGGTAAAGTTGATGTCAAAACAATGCAGTAAAAGCTATGCTGCAACAAACCACAGATAAAGAACAATAAGCAAAATCACAATATTTAAGACAAGCCAAACAAGCAGTAATGAACATATGAAATCACAATAAAGTATCACAGGAAAAATACAAACAAAAGCTAATAACAACCTGGGTCATTTGCCTTGTCAAGCATTGGTCTGAAAAAAATAGAAAATGTTGAATGGCTGTTGCAGTCCCTTTGCTCCAGGCATGAGGCATTAATTCAGTCTAAAACTAGTTCATCTCTTTTTTCTCCAGATCAATGGGAGTCCAGTGCCAGATATGCATGTCTTCGGTTATTTACTCCATACCCATCTAGCTGGAAGGGGACTGCGAGGTGTCCAATACCGGTAAGCAAAATTTCTAGGCCAAATATAGCATGACAGCAACAGCTTTCCCCCACTCAACTCAACAATATGAGAATGGCTTGGAAGCAAAAACTGAAGAACGTTGGCTATCCATTTTTATGGCTGAGAGAGTTGTACATTTATTGGCACAAAGCCAGTGGTCTTGTCAAATATAAACACAAAAACCAAAATAGAAATAATCTTTATGAAATCATTGTTGTTCACATAGCTATAATGTTCTTGGCGGTGCTCAAACTAAAGGGGTAGGAAAAACAAAGTGGATATGGAACACTCCAGGGATCTAGTGCCCAAGCAACAAAACAGGGGACATATTCACATAGTCCAACCAAAGAAAGCAGTTGTAAGCAACACAGGTTGCAGGTTGAGTATTTCCCTTTAGGAGCCTGATCAGCCAAGAGTTACTTGGCTGATAGTTGCTTGGTGGATAACAAGCCATAGATACTCCTAGCAGTGTTTACTCTCAACTTTGGTCTTTGCTTCCTGAATTCCTTCAACCTATATTAACCTCATTCTTTAAAACCAGGATGAGGCCCTGATTCTAACTATCTCACTGTTTCTGATCCAGAAACTTTTGCCACAAATTTTCCCTTAAAAAGTAGCTGGGATTCCTCAGCCTCATTCAGATCCTACTCCTGCAGACATTGACTCTCTTTTTCCTCAACAGAGGACTGGGGGGGGCACCATCCTGGCACTGACCCATGCCCTAGAAAGCTCCCCAAGCCTTCTGAAACAGCCCAGATTACTCCAAAGAGAACAGCCAATAACCTAACAAAAGAGGCTTTGTATTTTATGGAGTCAAGGATAATGTGAAGATACAGCATAAAATTCATTTCCCTAGTCCTAGGAAGAAACAGATACATTAACATTTGAGCTACAGTGACCATGGAAACATTTGTCAGGAAATTATTAGATCATGGTTGCTCTTGAACCCCAAACAGATCCCTCTCTGTGGCATGAGCAATGTTCTGTCTCACTGATGTTGTCTCTATGTACAGGAATGGAAAACAGTTGAGGGTGCTCTGTGAAGACAATAAATATGATTTCAATCTTCAAGAGACAAGAGACTTGAAGAAGACTATTATTTTCAAACCAGTATGTCATTCTAAGATATCTATTTGAGTTCGGGTTAGGCAATAAGCTCCTTATTATTGGGAACCCATATTCTCTCAGATTTGTGATAAAGTTGACTGCTTTGTTCACAGGGAGATGAATTCCTGGTGGAGTGCAACTATCAAACTACAGATCGGACAGATACAGTCTTTGTAAGTCTACTCTGAATACTTAGGATAGACAGAGTGGTGGATAGACAGTTTTAGAAAATAAAATCAGGTTCATCCTGTAATATACAAATATTTTAGTAATAGCTTGCAGGGTCCAGAATGCCTGTTAATAACTTGCCATTTATAGGCTAGGAAGATGGAATAACATTTTCAGCATTCTCTTTTAAGAGAAAGAAAATCATAAAGCAAAGGTCAGGACCCAGGAGAATGGTAGTTCCAATGTGGGATTGCTATTGGAGAATTGGTGTATTGTCCAGTTGGAATTGCCAGAGAAGACTAAGAATTACAGGAAGCCATATTTAACCTCTTATTATTATTACCTGGGATAGATGTGGGATAGACAGTTTCACACCAGATGGATTCATACCTGGCAAACCAAGCACACATTCAGCAGGTAATCTTCATTAGAAGTACATCTATATGAAGGGAAGCTTGCAGTAGGGTACCTCAAGGTTCTGTCTTAGACCCAGTACACTTCAGCTCCTTCATAAATGACTTAGATAAGGGCATAGAAGAGGAACATATCAAATTTGCAGGTGATGCCTTTAATCTGGGGGGAATAAATAGCTAACACTCTAGATCAGTGATTCTCAACCTTTTTAATGCCGTGACCCCAACCGGTCGTAAGTCGAGGACTACCCAACCGGTCATAAGTCGAGGACTTTCCCTGCCCAGGAGTGCTGCACATGAGTGGTGCCGCCCCCTGCACTGGCCAAGGTGTAGCTGGCAAGCGGCAGAGACGGCACAGGCCAACCACCGGCTGGGCCACCCAAGAGAGGTAAGGCACCCGCCAGGCCCCACGCGTGCCAGCAACCCTCCCTGTGCCTGCCGGCCTCCCACCTCCCACTCCTGGCCCTCTTTTACTTACATTTTTAGTAGTTGCTCAGCAGGGAGGGGTGGAAACTTCCAGACAGCTTGCCTTCGCTGCAGACAACTTGCAGCACTGTTTGCAGAATGGGACTTTTGGCGGGCTCAGCAGGGCAGAGACAGCCTGGACCATTCCTATTGGCTTTTGAAAGCCAATAGAATTAGACTCTATTCAAGAGAGTCTATTCTATTGGCTTTCAAAAGCCAATAGAATAAAAGGGAGTAGCACAGCTAAGGAAAAGGGAAAAAAATGGCGGACTGCGTTGTTTGGCGACCCCCGTGAAATGGTCGTTCGACCCCATATGGGGTCCCGACCCACAGGTTGAGAACCACTGTTCTAGATGATAGAGTCAAGATCCAGAAGGATCTTGATAGACTTGAACACTGAACTGTATCCAACAAAATGCAATTTGAGGATGAGAAAAGAAAGAAAGAAAGAAAGAAAGAAAGAAAGAAAGAAAGAAAGAAAGAAGGAAGGAAGGAAGGAAGGAAGGAAGGAAGGAAGGAAGGAAGGAAGGAAGGAAGGAAGGAAGGAAGGAAGGAAGGAAGGAAGGAAGGATTCTACATCTAGGTAAGAAAAACCAAATGCACATATATAGAAAAGGTTGTAACTGGCTCTTTGAGAGAGATTTAGGTGTCCTAATATACCACAACTTAATTATGAGCCAGCAATGTGCTGCGTATACCAAATAACTACTGCAATCCTAGTTTGCATCAGCAGAGGGATAGTTTCAAGATCATGCAAAGTGATATTATCACTTTATACTGCACTAAGACCACACTTGGAAAATTGTGTCCAATTCTGGTCACCCCAATATAAAAAAGATGTTGAGACCTTAAAAAGAATGCAGAGAAAAGAAACAAAGATGATAAATGTTCTAGAGGCTAAACCATATGATGATGATGAACGATTGAGGGATTTGGGTATATCTAGTCTACTGAAGAGAAGGACTATAAATGAAATGATTACAGTCTTCCAGTACTTGAGAAGAGAGAGTCAACTTATTCTCCAAAACATCTGAAGGCAGGACAGGAAATAACAATAGAACATCATTAAGAGAGATACAATCTAGAACAGTATAGGATCTCCTGATTGAGCAAGAGGTTGGACTAGAAGAACTCCAAGATCAGTTCCACCCCTATTACTCTATGTCAGGGGTCCCCAACCTTTCTGGGTTGGTGGCCCAGTGAGAGAGGGAAGGGCAGGCGCCTTATGTGAGCATGCGCAAACTTGAATGTGGCCACACGTGCATGCACATGCACAAACAGGCCGCAAGCATGCACACCATGCAAACAGGGCTGCATGTGCGTGAGGCTCTCAGCCACACCAGTGGTTGTGTGAGGCTTGTGGCACCGCCACTAGCTTGCGGCAATGCTGCCACCACCAGTGCGAGGTTGCGCCGCCGCCCCTGCATGAGGCTTGTGCTGTGGCCTGCCTGCTGCTTGTGGTGCTGCCACCACCTGCGCAAGGTTTATGGCAATGCTGCCACCTGCGTGTGGCGCGCTGCCACCTACCTCCCGCTTGTGGTGCTGCCACTACCTGCGCAAGTTTCTGTTGTGATTCCGTGCCAGCCTGTACTCCCAACAGCTGAGTCTGAGGAATCTGAGGAGGAGGTGGAGGAGGCATTTGAAGGGCCATCAGGGGCAGAGGGAGGCTCTGAGGAATTACTGAACTCACAGTTTGATGCAGAGCCTGCCCTCCAGTCGTGTTCCTGATGAAGCTCAGCTGTGTGAGGAGAATGAGTCAGACTCGGAGGACTCACACCTGATGGATTTGCTAATTGATACTCACACACGTCGTCAATTAGCAAGAGTAAATCAGCAGCAGTCAATACGGCAACTCCAGAGTAAAAGGAGAAGGCAATGAGAGGCAACGCCTTGGGACTGCTATATAAAAAGAGGAGGTGTGGGCGGTGCTGGTTGTTGAAGGCAATCGTTTGCAAAATACTTCTTGGAATCCTGGTCTGTTCGTCTTGCTTGTGACTACTCTTCTATTTGCATTGTGTTTCCTGTGAACTATTTCCTTCATTTGGACTTGAGTTTTGCTGTTTGTGTTTTGGACTATTTGGCAGGTTTGTCACCCATATTAAAAGGGGTTTGTTTTGTTTTAAAGTCTCCAGCCTATTTTATCAGCAGGGGTTTGATCCTTATGCCTTTAACAAGGACGGCAATAGGCTGGGATAGAACAGGTTCACAGCAATGCTGCCACCTGCGTGTGGCACACTGCCACCCACCTGCCGCTTGTGGCACTGCAGCCACCTGCGCAAGGTTCATAGCAATGCTGCCACCTGTGTGTGGTGTGTCACCACCCACTTGTCACTCGTTGCAGTTCCACCGCCCACACAAGGTTCATGGCAATGCCGCTGCCACAGTACTAGTGGCACTGCTGCTGCCTGCACAACACTCACAGCAATGGTGGCATGAGGGGAGTGAGCACGCACATACACATGCATGCACTGCCCAACTACTCACACAGCCTGCTGGCCAAGAGGCCATGGCCAGGTAGTGGTCCACAGCCCACAGGTTGGGGATCCCTGCTCTATGTTATATGTTCTAACCTTATTCCCACAACAAAGGTTTTCAGTTTAAGGTGAAATGAAGCTCCTGCACAATTAGTGATCTTCCACTGAACCTCAAACAAATATTGTTTATTATTTATTTATTTCTCTCAGGGAGGCCCAAGTACCCTGAATGAAATGTGCCTACTATTCCTCTTCTACTATCCTCGCAACAACATCTCCAGCTGCCTAGGACTCCCAGACATTCAATATGTTGCCAATCAGCTTGGTCAGGAGGCAAATGAGTGAGTGCTTCAGGCTAGGCCTAAGGAATAAAATTGCTTGGCTGGCATAGTTGGAGAATGTGTGAGGAATGGCTTGCTACTGAAACATCATAATATCAAAAAACACTCTGGGCAACTTGTCACCACTCCATTTATGGAATGCAAAATCCTCCATCTTTTCTGATGCTTAGTAGGGCTATGGCAGTGTTTCCCAAACTTGACAATTTTAAGGCATGTGGACTTCAACTCCCAGAATTCCACAGCCAGCATTGCTGGCTGTGGAATTCTGGGAGTTGAAGTCCACATGCCTTAAAATTGTCAAGTTTGGGAAACACTGGGCTATGGGATGCCAGCAGAAAAACTAATTGGCACAGATCTGGAAGGGAAGCATCCTAAGGAAGCATGTGTGGTTTGTGAAAATGATATACACTTATATATCGTGTAGGTGAATCTCTGTATAGAAGGAGTATAAAACCTGGATCATCAGGGTGGAGATATCAATTTGATCTATATTTTGCTTATTTAATTCATTTAAATCAAATTAAGTCAAATTGTTGTCCTATCCCCTGCCCAATTCTGTGTGTGTGTGTGTGTGTGCGTGTGTGTGCCCCAGCATGCTTTTCAATGGCAAAATATATCCATCATCTCAAATATGTTTTGTAGAGGGTCTCCCTCAACTTACTGTAGTGGCCAAAATTGTGGAAACCTTTTGGGAAAAATGTACAGTAGAAATGCCACTTTTGGTTAAGTTTCCACCATTTTTTCTTCTAATTTCTTTATAACTGTAGCCTTGTTCACTTAATAATACTACTTTACATCGCTTTCTTGGCAACCAGTCAACTCTTTGCACCATTACTTTAATTTTATTACGTTTTACAAACTTACTAAATGAAAGGGGGGGGAACCCAACCAACTTGATAGCGATCACATAACACACTGACAAATGTCCTCCTCTCATCTTCAATACATGACATCAATAACTGAATCCTACTTGATCTGATTGGCTCATTGCCAAAACAAGATGACACCTGATTGGCTCTCTAAACACTCATGCTCATTGGCTACAATCAGATGAAGGAAAGGTTCCTGATATCAACCTAAGCAAGTTGTGCTTCTTTTTTCTGGTTATTTGGCTATAACTTTTCATAGAATACAGTACAAATAATTGAACAAATTATGTTGCATTACATTCTTGATTAAATTATCTTTCCATTGATTTATAATGTTATGATACTACTCCCAAAAAAAGTGGTGTTATTAGCCATCAAACCTCAAAAATACACTTTTCCCAAAAGGTTTCCACAATTTTCGCCACTACTGTACACATAGTGCCAGATGCAACTTTGAGACTGAAAAAACAGTCCAGTACTGCTATGGGGTAAAAATAAGCATTCCTAAATATTCTGGTTGTAATTTGAATGGAATCTGGCAGACTGTATTTAATTACACACCCATTATTCCTAATTATTAGCCAGGTTGTTATCCTCGATTAGTTGTCTGTTGTCTGTCTGGATACAGCTTTTTTTGTCTCCGTGTCTCATCTTGGTATCTGTAGACAACTCCCTGTGTTGTAATTTCACCCTGCAGTCCAACAGAAGGAATGATGGCCATCAATTCTGTACAATGGAACAATGAAACTATCAAGAAAGCAGAGAAAGCATGCAAGGAAGCACCTCAGATTGTTAACATAAAAACCATTGATGTAAGTAGGCTTTAAATACTGGAGGAAATACAATGGTTGAACTGGAAATGGAATGGGACAATTTGCTGCGGTCATTTCATCACAGGACAACTCACCACAGGACAATTCAACAATTCAATTTAATTATTTAAAATAATTTTAAGAATATTTTAATTTTTGTCGTTTACATTTCATTTTGTGCCTCCTTTTGCATCCTTCCTTTAATCATTTTATTCCATTTCTTCAATATTAGTGTAACGCTTGTTTTCAGCAAGTTGTCTTGCAGCAAGTTAGCCATGGCAAGTTGTTCCGCTGTGAGTTGGCTGCAACGAGTTCGCTGAGTTAGCCGCTGCATGTTGGCAGCAACAAGTTTGTCATGGCGAGTTACCATAGACTCAACTGGAAAAGCTAGAAATGGAACAACAGATCGCTAATCTTGAATCTCCATGAGGCTTATACTTTTCAATTTCTCTTTATTTTGAACATGGTATGAAGAATACCAATCAATTAGGGAGCATCTTTCCAAACTTCAGGCAACTGAAGTTTACATATTGTCAGTCTCAACTCCCATCGAAGGGAGAACAAAGGCCACCTACTGTGTAGCTCAAACCAAAAATAGACCGGGTAATTTAAAAGCATTTATCGGGCGTCTGAGTAGCCATTTTTTCCCATTCTTTTCTAGTCCTTCATCCATTCTCCTCTTTGGATGGTCTTCCACACTTGACTTTGCCTTAATTCATTTCTTGCTCAACATCTTTCTTCTACTAGATTAAAAATTCCTCTTTATGTTCAGGTTCTGACATAGTAGCCATTGAAAATTGGGACAGAAAAAAGACGTAGTGTATTCTTTTTTAAAAAATCCATAGTAAACCTTTCTTTCAATTATAGATAGGTAAGTCAATGACATGTATGACCATCTAGCTCCAAGTCTTCCTTTGATTTGGTTGGGTTCCAACCCATTTCCAAGCCATTTTTAGAAGTGTATTCTTCTACGTTCCATTCATCTCCTTGGAAAGATCTTTTTTATATAAAGATGGTTATCTGCCAGAACAATTATAAATATTTAGATCAAACATCAGAGTGCTGTTCAGTTCCAGCATCAAGTTTCCCTAGAAATAAAAAACTGGAGTAAGCAGAGTATTGAAATAATTCCTCTCACTAGTAGTTTTTATTTAAATTAGGTCTGTCTATTCTGATTTCACCAAGAAAAAATAATGACCTTGTCTTGCCCAAAGGCTGGGGTCCTTAGCCAGGGGTCCTTTGACTAGGATGAAAAAAAAAAATACTTTCACTAATCTCTAATTGAAATTTACCTTGTCTTGTAGGTGGTTTAACAAATCACAAGCATATATATTTGTTATTTTTTAATAATTTGATAACTATAATTGAGCATGAGGGGTTTCCTTTCTAACAAAATATGTATATATTATTATAACAAATCATATACATATACATAATGTAATATAGTAATATACATGGGTCTTATTATAAACTAGATTTATGGACTTAAAATACATTCTTCTGACCAAAGTGTTGCAGGTTTCTTGAAGCTCTCAGAATAATCCATGGCATAGAAAGGTTAAGAATGGGTAGCAACACGACAGAATGAGAAAAGGTTATGAAATTCAATGGGATAATTGTTATTTTGTATTTGAATTTTATGTCCATTTCTATGAATTCTTCTTCTTTTTTCTATTTGTGATTTTAACAATAAGTAACTCTAACTAATAAGTAATATATTAATGTGTTAAAGTTATCATGATTAATTAATAATATATTAGTAATATTATATTAAGTATTCTTATTTTATATTAATTAGTATGATTGAATATGTATACCCGGACGGGTTTACTTGCTGAAGTGTTGACTTATTGTGGGGGACAACCCCACTATTGTACCTATCCCTTCCTCTGGTCTAACCCTTTTTGTTTATCACCCCCTTGTTATACCCTTATTGACCCCACTTCCCCTTTATCCTTATAAAATCTAATAAAATATTTATATATATAAATAAAGAATCCTTTCACTAAGAAGATGGGCAAGGCCCAACAAGAAGGTATTGTCTATCTTGAACATTTTTCTTCTTTACTTGCAGGAGGTGATGGTAAACGAAACTGGTTTCATTCGTGATATTGAAGTTCCTGAACCAGCACCCTGCAAGTTGAGTCCAAGAGACGTAATTACGACACCTCAACCACCTTACTTTCACACCAAGTACAAAGCAATTCCAGGTGTGGTTTCCAAAACTGTTAGCACCTCTTAGCCTGCTGTTCATAATTTTGGGGTTTGCTTGGCTTCTCATCTCTCCCCTCCCCCCAGTATGAATTCTGAGCATCCCATGCCAATTTCTGGGGATCTAAGTCCAACCGCTTTTTACTGCTGTGTGCATGAAGTTCAAGGCTGAAACAAGCCAGCCAGCACTGGGGAGAGGTCCAAATACATCACCTGGAATTTAGAGAGGACTTATCCTTCTTTTCAATCCTGCCATATAATTTGACTCTGGAAAGAAATGGGGCGTCTGTCATGGGGTAAGCAGAAGAAAAAAGCCCAGGGCAAATGTGGGCAGCCAGTAAATTTTATAGCAGACTTCCTCAACCTGATATCTTCCAGATGTATCTGGATTGGGATTCCCAGATTTCCCAGATTTCCCAGCCAGCATAGCCAAACTCCTTGCTATCTGGGTGGTTTGAATATATGGAAGATACCATGTTAAAGAACAGTGTATTTTCTTGTGTTCAACCATGTGCCTAACACTGATTGTCTGGGAAGGTAAGCAAGAAGATGACATCCTTATTGGAAGACTATTGGAAAGGAGTCTGGGGTAACCCACAGTAAATAACATCCACAGCTGAAACAAGAAACAATATGCCCAAGGAAGTGGAGCAGTCACGTTTGCCCTTGAAATGAATTTATACATGAACCTAACACATAGTATATTTAAATATATTAAAATGAACAAAATGACTGATAGAAATGTCATAGAATATTGAATATTATATAAATGGAACACAGAATTCTCACCGTTTGGGGTATTTTGATATGTGAAACAAAGGATTGGATTTGCCATTTACTCCATCATTAGCAATTAAATTTTATTTTGAAGTTTCCACTAGAATAAAAAAGGTAGAATTAACAGATAATAAAAATAATATCTACTTAGTGTGTTAAAAACAAAAACATTTTTTCTCCAAATTCTTTGCAATAGTAACGAAATGACACAAGAGCATTTTTATTTTTTCTTAGCATATCCAAAATCCAATATCTTTAATAATAATTTATTTATAAATGTTGTGATTAAAATAAGATTTACTTTTATATTTTATATAATTTTTATCATCCCAAAATTATGACATTGTTAAGAATTTTTTAAATAGATAGGTGTATATTCGGTATGAAAATGCTCATGTGATTAAAAATACGGATACCTGATTATTACAATCAAACATAAATTTTTATCTGATATATGCAAATGTTTCTGTCTTCTTTAGTATACTTGTAAGTTGCCTTCCAAATCATTGGGTCTGTGCTCCTTTGATAAAAATTAAAGACTGTCTCTTGTATTCAGGTTGTTGGCTGGACATTACAGTTATCAGTCCCTCTGCTGTCCCTCACCCCAATTTCTGCACGAAGATTGAGCTATACCTATATGGACATGCAGGTGTTTAATAATACAAGTATTCCTCAATTGCTTCATTATTCAAACACCTACCAGTCCATCCAAATTCTCTCCTGAATGATAACATTTTCTGTTGCCAGTATGTCAATATGTCTATATTTTCACTGCTCCTCTGCATCCGCCCTACAGGTAGTTCTTGATTTACCACCACAACTGAGCCCAACATTTATGTTGCTAAGCAAGACAGGTTTTAAGTGAGTTTTGCCCAATTTGATGACCTTTCTTGCCACAGTTGTTAAGGGAATCACTGCAGTTGATAAATTAGTAACTCAGTTGTAAGTGAATCTGATTTCCCCATTGACTTTGCGACTCAGGAGGTCGCAAAAGAAGAGCACAATGTAACTGTCATAAATATAAGTCAGTTGCCAAGCATCCAAATTTTGATCAGGTGACCATGGGGATTCTGTGTTGAAAATGTGAAGAATGGTCACTTTTTTCAGTACCATTGTAACTTTGAACACTCACTAATGATTGTAAGTTGAAGACTACCTGTATTTTGTTCTATTTTTACCAAGACAAATCTGATGATATCTTGATTTGTCCATGATATTCACCATTATGCAATCAAGTAGAACAAATTCAAAATAGAGTCTTGGTAACAAAACTAGTGATCCAGCAAAATGCTGTAGATATAATTTACTTGGACTTCAGAAAGGCATTTGACAAAGTAGACCACAATCTACAACTTGATAGAAAAATGTGTGTTAGTGAGCATCACCACCAGATGGATTTGTAACTGGCTGACCAACCACACTCAATGGAACAGCATCTACATGGAGGGAAGTATGCAGTAGGCCAGGAAGGCAAGCAAGAAGATGAAGCCAGTGGTGGGATTCAGCCAGTTTGCACCAGTTCGACAGAACCAGTAGTTAATTTTTTGTTGCCCAGGCCCAGAATGGACTTCTGGAAGCAGCATCCACAAAGAGAACCAGTTCACATATTTGAATCCCACCACTCAATGAAGCGCTTATTAGAAGACCATTAGAAAGAAGTCTGGGATAACCTACAGTAATAACATCCACAGCTGAAACAAGAAACCATTTGCCCAAGGAAGAGGACTTGTCAAGCAGTTTTCTTCAACCTGGATGATGCCATGCTGTCATGGAGTTGTGGGAACTGGCCTAGCTCATCTGAAAGAATCTTGTTAGGGAAGACTACAAAACAATTTCTTAATTTTGAATGTTGCTGTCTGCTCTGAATACATTGCTAGTCTATTGTATTTTGTTGCCTAATCATTGGTATTTCCTCCCCCACTCTATTATGCATGTAGGGATAGCAGGTGAAAGGGTCACACCAGGGTTCAGCATCAAAGCCTTCCTGCCTTACCTGGGGAATTGGTATTGCCCAAGTGGTTATGTGCATGGTTCTGCAGCACAGTTCCAGCTTTTAGGACTGCCCAACTTGCTATTAAATGGCAAGAATCATGCCTCTAATTGCCCCATCGCTTTCAGATTGTGATATTCAACTCAGTAATTGGGAAGTAATATATTATGGAGCAAATCCAGCTTGAAGTCTCAGAGAAAGAAAGCAATACACTGTGATTTCTAGTGGGGATATGCAAATGAAGAGGGTGGGTTTGATTAGAATTACAGCTGGGAACTCTGTTTCAGTACTCCTTGGAATCCAGTTATAAGGAAAGACATATTCTCAGAGAACGATCAGTATACGTGATTGTATATTTCAGGATGAAAATGATAAACCGGGTTGTTCCTTAAATTGTAGATCTCTGTTTCTCTCTTTCATGTTTAAATACACTGCAGAATGCTGAAGCCACCAAGCAGAGGTTCTTTCCCCTTGTCTTCAGTTAAATAAAGTTATACAGGAACCCAACACATACTGTAATTAAGTATATTAAAACAGAGAAAAAGATTAGTAATGATGCAATAGAATACTGAATATTACAGAAATGGAAATTCTTCAAACTTTTTGAAATGTGCAGCAAAGGATTGGGTTTGCCATTTACTGTATTACTAGCAATAACATCTACTAGAAAAAAAGTGGAATTAAAATATATAATAATGTCTAATTAGTTTGGTAAAAACAAAACGAAAATTCCATTTTTTTTGTTTTTTGCAATAGGAATGAAATAGCCCAAGAGCATTTATAATTTTTCTTAAAATTTCCAGGATCCAATATATTAATAGTGGTAATTTTAAGATCTTTAATAATAATTACTTTATAAATGGTGTAATTAAAATAAGATTTACTTTCATATTTCACCAACAAAATAATTTATTGTCCAACAAATTATAATATATTATTAGTATATTTTTTGAATATGTATGTTTACAGTAAGAAAATGTCATCTGATTAAGACTTTGTTTATTTAAAAAAAGATACCTGATTATGACAATCAAACATGATTTTTTTTTCTGATACATGCAAATGTTTCTGTCTTCTTTACTGTACTTGGAAATTGCTTTCCTAATCACTAGTATGCAGGCAGAATCACTAGGGGGCAGGCTGGGAGTGTGCTCTACTATAAAAAAATACTTTATTATTGAAGTTGTAGGTTCACCATTAAAGGAATCAATCCCTCTGCTGTCCCTCACCCCAATTTGTGCATGAAGATTGAATTATATCTATACGGACATGCAAACATGTAGGCGTTTAATAAATATAAATGTTCCTCAATTGCTTCATTATTGAAACACTGCCACTCCATCCAAATGGGGGGGGGGTTGCTGAATTGTCTCTTGAATGATACACTCTCTTGCCAGCACATCAATATGCCTATATTTTCACTGCATCCACCCTATTTTGTCCTAACTATTTTTACCAAGACAATACCAAGACTATTTTTACCTGCCTCTTTTCTTGAGATGGCACAGCAATTCCTCCCTGTTTCAGCCATCTATCTTAAATTGACATCTTCCTAACATTTAGAAGGAAGCTAAATAAACTCTGACCTTCAAAAAGCTGATCAGGACCAAGTTCAGATCTCCAAATATCCATCCAGTTCACTTGGGTCATTTTTCTTCTCTGAGCCCAAATCACCTCACAGGGTTATTGTGAGGTTAAAATGGGAGGAGGAGAACAAAACACACTCTTCCAATTATATTCTCAACAGTGATGTCATATGAACGTAGATACCCACACATACCAGCTTATAAAAGAAAAAGTGCGATTGTATATCTTAAGAAAGGCAGCTGTGTAGTCTAACCAGCTGAGATAATTTCCACAGCTATATGAAGAAATGAAGAAGTGAAACACGGTCCAAGTGAAGCAGATGACAAAAGGAAGTAAGACTCCCTTAAGGGAGGAATAACATAATTAAGTCTTCTTAGGCACAGAGAAAAAGAATTATATGGCCTACTGTGGAAGAAAACAGAAGCAGTATCTCATTTGCTCTCAAGTAAGCTTATTTTGTTTCTTTTTCTCTAACCCAGATCAGTTTATAACAATTAATCATGACTCAGATTCCAGAGATTTCTTTGGAATTCATGTTCAATTGACTTGACATGGCTATGTAATTCTTCCAGTCAGAATGGGGGACAGTTTGATTGGACTAGATTTATAATTTGTTAACAAATTCCATAATGGATTTGAATGTAAGAGGAAGTAACATGGATGGATTTGCCTATCTAAGTACAGGGTTTCAGTAGCTCTTTATGTTTGTGATGCTAATTTAAAATTGTTCCTTCTCCTCTTCTTGTCTGCCCTTCTAATTGGGACTGGTTCCTTACCATCAACAACAATATGGCAAGTAGATCCCATATGGTCACTTGATGCCTGAAATAGCTGTAACTATAACACTGGACCAGATACAACATAAGGAATTAATCACACTCCTTTTGCTTGACTCCTATAGAAGCATATATTAAAGGCTCAACCCACCTCCTCTCCCTAACAACTGGATTTGAAATACAGGTCCTTGTGACATAACAATTTAAGCTATCACACAGTGGAGGCAGTTTAATTTCCTATTTAACTGTTCCAGTTTTAAAGCTGTTCTCCTGATAAAACTTTGGTCATGGGCTTGAGCTGCTACACTTGCTTGATGAGGTGCTGAGAGATGAATAGGGACAGGGATGTGCCCAGATTTTTACTAGCACTTGAGGCTGCTTGGACATGTCCCTTCCCATTCAACTGCCTGGCGTTGGGCATGGACTTCCAGAGAGACTGGACAGATGTATAAGTATGTGCATGTTTGGTTTGGTTTGGTTTAACTTGTTTTGCTGGGAGAGAAGACACTGTCAATGACTTTGGTTCATTGGCAAGCCCCATCTCAGTCTGTCTTCTCTCCCTACTTCATTTTTGTCATTTTCTCCCCCAGCTTTCCTGTTCCTTCTGCTCTGTGGTTGGATGTAGGAGTGCGTGGTTGTCAAAAACCACAATTCTAGAGCTCAGCAAATCTGGTAAAGGTAGGAAGAAGAGAGAAAGCATGCTTCCTGTAACAACCAGCCACAGTTGAGCAAGACATGAAGAATGGAGGAAAGGGAGGGCTTGCTTAACACATAACCATGTCATTGGGAAAGGAAACAATGAGTTGAGGCAGAAGATGGGTGGGGGTGGGGGAGGAAGAGCAAAGCGGGATTTTGAGATGAAAAAGGCAGTTGTGGGACTGGGGATATATAGGCAGGGTTACCTGTGGGATTCCCTCAAAGAATGCTTCCTTTCCGCATGACATCCTTTGCCCTCTGGCTTGGAACCATGCCCAAGGGTTTCCATTGATGAGCAAAAAACTATTAAAGCCTACGTCTGGCAATTGTGGTTTTCCTGGCGTGAACCTCATTCAGAAAGGTGATAACCAGAAGAAAAGGGGCAATGACCTTTCAAGAACAAGAGCTTGAGAGGGCATTGCTACTAGGTGTGGCCTTCCCAAATGGCAGCACATCCTGCATCTTGGCAGGTCAGGAGTCTCTGTTGTATACTTCGTTCGCATGCAAATGATGAAGACACATGGCGATGCTGAACAAACACTTTATTCTCCTTCTATAACAACCAAGCAAAAGCAAAAGGCACGCAGGCCTTTTTATATGGCCAGAAGCCAGGATAGTGTTAACCAATAGGAACAGAGCGTTTTCGTGCCTTGCACATGCACACAAGGCCGGCGCCGCTCTGTCTGGTCCCAGGCAGCTTTTGGAATGCCCGGGACCAATGCAACGTCCCGAGCCTGCTTTTGCAGGCTCGGGACACAACACCCCTCCCCCCTAGATTGAACATACTTCGCGTACACACATGTACATCGTGCATTGGGAAGAGTGGCATACAGTTGCATTATTGAAATGCAAAGAGTGTGGAATCTCGAGTCTGCCCTCAGGCAAACCCCCTTCAGTATTTATGAATACAAATAAATGTATCCAAAATCAAAAATAATGCAAAATAATCTACCCATGAGTTACATCCCTTATTCAGGGGCCTCATGAGCAAGTCCCTCATGATTTGACAGCAACCTCACAAAGTCTCTCAGATGTTTGGGTGGGCACTTGGCCCGCTGTGACCTTCTAAGGCCTGGAGAGATTGCTGGCCCACCTGCTAGGCAGGCCAGGACGTTGCTGCCCTAAATCCCCAGGTGACCCTAGTGAAGGTGCTTGGCCTACCTGCTCACCTACCAGGCTAGGAAGGCCAGGACTTTGCTGCCCCAAATACACTGTTGACCCACCCAGCTGCTGGCTGGCTGGACCCTCTAAGTCCAAGCCAGCATACCTTGGAGGGGTGGAAGTCCCCGAGTCCACAATGGACCTCTCTTGGGAACACTGTCTCTCGAGCCTAAGGCCAGCAGATGGAGAGGGCTGGGTAGCAGAAGTGCCCCAGTACTCAGTGGCCCCCAAGCACGTGCCCGAGGTGCCAGAGTCAGGAGTTGCCTCCATGGCAACCCCCTTTGCTGGGGCCTCCTTTTGGGAGCAATTGCGGAATTAGGCAAGTGCCCCTGATGAAATTCCTTTTCTTTTGCTGCTTATGATTTGTGTGGATACCCCCAGTCAGTCTCCCTGTCTGGAGCACTATCTGACATATGTGAATACTGTGGATACCTCCGGTGTGACTCCCTGTCTGGAGTAATTATGGATGTGTGGTATGACCCCCTATCCAGTGAATTCCTGTTTGGAGCATTTGCAGAACCTTGGGATGAATCCCAAACAGCCTCAGTAGCCGCTAGTGAGGGCCTGTTAGGCCTGGGAAACTGTACCCAGAATGCATATTATGGTCCTCCTCCCTCCCCCCCCCCAGAGCAGAGCCAGGAGCGGAAGGGTGAGAGTCCAACGCAGCTGGTCTATGTGTCTGCAAAGAACGCGGCTGTCACCCAAGGCAACTTCGTATGACAACAGCCCAGAGACCTTGCAAACCACAGCTGTGACCCAGAGATGTCCAGGCCCATAGTTTCTTGCCCAAACCGGATCACCCACCTGGAGTCTCCTAGGTGCCTGCGGTTGTGACACTTGTGAAGCCACCCGGTCAGGGTGCAGCCTGTCCAGTTTAGTGATGAGGTGGCGACCCCTGCAGAGTTCAGCAGGGCTCTTCCCTGTGGTTGTGCATGGTGTGGTGCAGTGTGCCAGAAGGAAATCAGCTAACTTCTGATGCCAGTTACCGTAAGTCAGTTTCTTGAGAGCATCTCTGGTGGTGCGCACCATTCTCTCTGCCACTTTGTTGGAGGATGGATGGAAGGAAGCTGATGTTGCATGCCAGATCAGATTGGCGTGAAGAAAAGCCTAGAACTCAGAAGAGGTAAATTGAGGGCCATTATCTGAAACCAGAACATCTGGAAGACCATGTGATGCAAAAATTCCTCTCAACACCTGGATGGTCCTGGCAGTAGTAATGGAGGAAAAAGGAACAACCTCTAGCCACTTGGAATGGCTATCAACAACCACCAGGAAGAATTGCTCCTGAAAGGGCCCAGCATAATCTATATGTACCCTAGACCATGTGGTTTGAGTTTCCTCCCACCTATGTACTGGGGCCTGAGGCATTTCAGGCCATGACTGTTGGCACAATTGGCACCTGTGCACCTGGGCCTCGATGGCTTTATTGAGCCCAGGCCATTAAAGATGGCTGCACGCAAGCGCTTTCATCCTGACTATACCAGGATTTCCCTCATGCAGAGATATCAAGATTTTAGACCTCAGTGAGACTGGGATCACTACCCTGCTACCCCATAACAACCCTTGAAAGTGGAAAACTCATGCTTCTTGTGCCAGAAGCTTTGGAACTCAGTATCTAGGCACTTGTCAGGCCACCCTGACAACACCCATGTCAGCATGCGTGTAAGCGTGTGATCAGTGGCAGTTTCTGCAGCCACGTCCCTAGCATTGAGGGGAGACTCAGGCAATTCCTGAATGGAAAGAATGTTAATGGCTGGAGCAGGATCTGTCTCTAATTGGTTCAGGGGTAATCTGCTCAGGCCATCTGCATGACCCATTCTTTTCCTGGTTTGTGAACTAATGTGTAGTCATATGCTGACAGGAAAATGGACCATCTCAGCATACGAGGAGAAATGATATGTGGGGTCTGTTTGTTAGTGGTAAACAAACCCAGCAGAGGCTTATGGTCAGTATAGACTGTGAAATGGCGGCCATATAAGAAATTATGAAATTTCTTAATGCCAGCCACTATGGCCAAGGCTTCTCTGTCAATTTGAGCGTAATTCCATTCTGCAGAAGACAGAGTCCTTGAGTAATAGACCACAGGGACCTGTGTCCCATCAGCCTTCAAATGGCTAAGTACAGCTCCCACCCCATAAGGAGATGCATCGCATGTGATGCAAACAGGCAGTTGCTCATTGAAATGCGCTAAAACAGCATTAGAAGTGAGCAAGGCCTTGAAGCTCTTGTCATGGACTTTAGTCCACTGCCAAGGAGCCTGCTTGTCTAAGAGCCTGTGTAATGGCTCTGCCACTGCAGCTTCATGTGGGAGAAATGCATGGTAAAAATTTAATAGCCCCAAGAAGGCTTGCAGCTCACTCTTGGACTTACGGTTTGGGGCCTGCTGGATAGCTTGCAATTTAGTTTCAGCGGGGTGAATGCCTTGAGCATCAATCCTGAACCCTAAGAAGTCAGTAGAAGTGATTCCTATCTTACATTTATCCTTCTTTAGTTAAGGCCTGCTTTTCGAAAACGAAGCAAGACAGCCCTTAATCTTTCTGCTAAATTTTGAGATGACTCCTCAGCAATGAGGACGTCATCGAAATAGGGACAGGCCCCAGGAATACCTTGAAGTGTACTCTCCATGACACTTTGGAATATGCCAGGGGCTACATCTACATTTACCCCAAATTGCAGTCTCTTGACCTTGAAGGCCCCCCTGTGAATTACAATAGTCTGGGCCTCTGCAGCTGCCTGATCAACAGGTAGCTGTTGATAGGCCTGTGCCAGGTCAAGCTTCGAAAAAATGCATTCTGGCCTCCCTCCTTGAGGGAGGCCAGAATGTGACTTACCACAGGAACTGGATAAGTGTGCTGTTGCAGCGCCTTATTCAGTGTGCACTTGTAGTCTGCACATATACGTATGTCCCCATTAGCCTTTAGAGGCGTTACTATGGGATTTCCCATGGACTAGATTCCACAGGTTCTAGATTGCCCTGCTGGAGCAATTTGTCCAGCTCAGCATCAATCTTACCTTTGAGGGCAAAAGGTACCCTCCTAGGTTTAACCCTGATAGGTGTGATGGTTGGGTCTAACCATAGTGAAATGGGAGGCCCCTTGTAGGATCCTAGCTCTGAATTAAACATATCTGCAAACTCCTTGCAAACCTCTGCAAGGCCCAGCATTTGCAAGCTGTGCAGCCCAGTTACCTGGATTCCCAGAGCCTCGAACCAATTGAGTCCAATAAGACTCGTACGTTCACCCCCAACAATCACCACATCTAGGGAACCTTCAAAATCCTTATACTGTACCCTAAGGGTGGCCTCCCCTTTAACACACACCATAGAATTTTGAAAATCAGTGAGTATTAGATTCAATGGCCTGAGTTTAACTCGAAGGCCACTACTGCTGCAAATACTTTTAAAGGTATTAATTGAAATAATGGAAAGAGCGGACCCTGTGTCCAACTCCCTGTGTCTGGAGGATTCCTGGTGAGGTGCAAGGCCTTCACAGCCCCGTCTGCTGTTTCCTCAGCTGCCACCTCTCACAACTCATCTTGGAAGGAGACATCTTCTTTCGCAAAAATCTTTTGTTGTAAGTCTCTGCTCCTTAAGCCACAGACAAAGCAATCTCGCAGCCTCTCTTCCAGATCCTTGAACTCACAAGGTTAAGGCTGCAATAAAGTCCGCAGCAGATTCACCTGGCCTCTGGTCTCTCTGCTCGAATGCGTGCCTCCAAGCAATGATGGATAATTTTGGCTGGAAATGTTCCTTCAACATTTTCTTCAAGTCAGCATATGTTACTGACTCCAGAGGTGCAGGGGCCACCAGATTTTCTGCGATGTCAAAAGCTTCTTGTCCACAGGCACACAAAAGAGTTGCTGCCTTCAGGCCATCTTCTCTTATCTGATTTACTCTGAAGTAGTTCTCTACCCGTGCTACATAGGAATTCCATCTCTCTTTGTGGGAGACATCAAAATCAGTCAAGCGGCCAATCTTCAACATCGTAAACTTTACGACCTTCACCACTCGCTTCCTCTGAAAGCTGCTATTTGGGGAAAGGGTCCTTTAGCCGAGCTCACCCTCCAGCAACACTGTACTGACAGGCTGGGACGCTGATCAGACGCCGTCTTCCCCTCTTCAGGACTTCTTGGTAAGTCCTTAAATCTTTTGTTTCAGCTTGCAAAGGATCCCACCTTCGTTGCCAGTGTTATATACTTCGTTTGCGTGCGAATGATGAAGACACATGGCGATGCTGAACAAACACTTTATTCTCCTTCTACAACAACCAAGCAAAAGCAAAAGGCACGCAGGCCTTTTTATATGGCCAGAAGCCCGGACAGTGTCAACCAATAGGAACAGAGCGTTTTTGCATCTTGCACATGCACACAAGACTGGCACGGCTCTGTCTGGTCCCGGGCAGCTTTTGGAATGCCCAGGACCAATGCAATGTCCCAAGCCTTCCCAAGATTTGCCTATGCTTATCCCACCCTTCCCTACCCCATTGCTGACCTTGTTACTGAGGCAGAATAGGGCTATGGTGGCCACAAAATTTAAACAGGTATACTTGTTTGCTGAGTCAAAACCTGGAGAAATGCACACTATTCCTCACTGACTTTTGTGAGGAACAACCCTAAGTCTTGTACATTTCTATTCATCAACTATACAGAGAAACAATAAACCTGGAATAAAATAAATGGAAAAGGAAGTTCAGAAATTGTACAATTCATATTCTGCATGCAGTCATTATCAGTTTACTAAGTAAACATTTTGATTTCCATTTACAAACTTAGTAATATTTAGCTGACCTTGTAATACTAAGTCCTATACTGCATTTAATCTTACATTGCTCACTTTATATTTCAGATTCAAGAAAAGCCTGAGTCATAACTGATGATTTCAGTTATGCAAAAAGAAAATATCTTGGTGTTTTACATCTAAAATGCAGACTAATATGAATTGGAAACTCATCAGTACACTAGTACCAACTTTGGCTATTAAGCTAATAGGAACTTCTTTGTTCTTTGTATATAGTATGTATTACATTGCCTTTTTTATTATCAATGTTCTAATTTTGGAGAATAATGATTAATAATGCTTCCTTTTATTATATTATATTATATTATATTAAATCATATTCAAACTTCAATGTTCTGTTAGAACAAGTTATACATCATTTCCATCAGTCTTTTAACTAGCATGGGAAGTTTTTATGGATCTTGAAAGGAAATTCTCACTTTTTATATGAGAAGGATAATATAGCTGGGAGGGAGTAGATGGGCTGGAATTTAGTGAGCATTTTTTTGTGAATGGACCTTGATAGCTTTTTAAATGCTTGCTTATATTAAGAATCATCTGTATTCAGTTTCACAGATCTTCTCAGAAGTTCCCAAAATCACCTCACCAGGAAAAAACAGTGAGTTTGCAATGTGAATGCCCACCAGGGAAAAAGGGAATTCTCCTACCTGGGGTGCACTGAAGCCATTTTCCCATATTCTTTAGGCTGCCCCTTAAGATGGACTCTGTATGAAGGGAACTGCTACTACTTTTCTACTGTGCAAAGAACATGGGACGAGAGCCAAAAAGAATGTGCCCAGTTAAATTCTCATCTTGCTATTATCAACAACAAAGCAGAACTGGTGAGTAGATAGAGTGGATAGTAAAAACAAAAAAATAGCTAGTATTTTGGGACGTTTAAAATTGATTACGCTTCCATAAAATAATGTGTAACTGTCCCCCTCCCCAGGCAAACAACTTAGCTTTAAATGGAAATCAGGGCACAGTTGCAGCATAGCCTTAAGCCTTCCTTTTGCTCATGCCTGTTTGATTTTAGTTCAGTTTAAGAAAATCTGTCCAGACAGAGTTACTTTGGCAACAGCTAGCAAAGTATATAATTTGGGTCTGAAGCATTTTTAAAAAATATTATTTCTTTCTCTGAAGTATAGATACTCCTCAACCTACGACCACATCTGAGTCCAAAATTTCTGTTTGTTTGTTAATTTGTTAAGTGAGTTTTGCCCATTTTATGCCACAATTGTTAAGTGAATCACTGCAGTTGGTAATTAGTAACACGGTTGTTAAAGTGAAACTGGTTTCCCCATTGACTTTGCTTGTCAAAAGGTCTCAAAAAGTGATCACATGCAGGACACTGCAACTGTCATAAACATGAATCGGTTGCCAAGTGTCTGAATTTTGATCATGTGACCATGAGGATGCTGCAATAATCATAAGTGTGAGAAATGGTCATAAATCACTTTTTTCAGTGATGTTGTAACTTCGAACCATCATTAAATGAATTGTTGTAAGTCAAGGACTACCTGTACTATTTTTTCACTTTTTAAATTCCAACAATGCATTGTTTCATCATTTTTACAGTCACCTGAGATAAAATTACCTCAGCTGACCAGAAAAAACAATGTAATGGTGCACCACTGGACCTATTTTAAAGAAGAAAGCCCTGTGAAAAGAAAGTAGCTCAGGAAAAGAAAAATAGTAATTTAAAAACACACATATGTATTTGAGGTAAGTTTTGAACCAGCAACATCCCAGATATTAAGCAACTATTATGAAACTAGTTTTAAAAGCTGTTCTAGACCTTAGAGACCATGGCAACTATTCCCTTAGGTGAGAGGGTATTTTTGCCTCTGAAAAGTAGCTACACAAATTTCAGGGTTTAAGTCTAGAAGAAAGCAATAAGCAAAATCTTTTTGAAGTGCTGGTAAGTAATTCTTTAAAATGTCTATTGTTTTCCCCTTGAGTTGAGGAAAAGTGGAGGTATAACCAGTGTTAAAACATTCTAAAAGTAGAACAGGATAATTTGGAAGACCTTTCTCTTCAGCTATTGTGGGAAAATGACTTTCACAAATACTGTGTGTATGGGAGAGATCTTGAAATTAAAATGCTTTTAATTCCCTCTTTCGTAGACCTGTTTTGATTTTATTTAATGCAAATTTGTTTCTATTTTCCTTCCTTAAAGAGTACGCATTTGATTGGCCCAATTCCAGAGAGCTTAAAAGTGATATTATATTGAAACCTACAAGGAATCCCTTGTATTTATTTGAAATAGAAGCTTTTGTACAGAAAGACCTAAACTTATGATGATACTGAAAAAGGTACTTATAACCCAGTTCTAAAGGCTCCTTTCCCCACAGTCACATGACTGTATTTTGGACACTCAACAACTGGCCCACATTTACAGTCATGTGACTATAATTGAAACCTTTTTGCCAGAAACCAGCATTTTCTTCTATTTTACGTCAAAAAAATGCCCTATAGCCAGAGGTGGATTTGCTTAACAACTACAGAGTTCACTTAGCAATTATGTTGTTTGCTTTACAATTGCTACATTCTCTTAATAACAACTGCAAACAAGATCACAAAATCAGGCAAAGTCATGTGATAACTCATCACAACTTACAGTCATAATTGCGGACTCAATTAAAGTAAGTCGAGGACTATCTATAATGCATAAGATATCATCTTTGTTGATGCATGGTTTGTTGATGCAATTTGTATGCAAATTGTACAAATAATGTAGGTTTCAACAGGGTCTGTCCTTTTCCTTTATTCTAGAGATACTTTGCAGGTCCATAACAGAATCTGATGTCACTGTATTTTGTAACATTTTGATCCTGTGTATCCTATCCAGGCATTCCTGAACAGCAGAACACGAAATTCAGATTATTTCATTGGCCTGAGAAATTTCATTGGACAGTGGAAGTGGATTGATAACACAAAGTTTGACCCTGGAATGTAAGTTTTATTAGACTTCTGATCATTATTGTTTACACAGAGTAGGAGTAAGCGACCTGTGGACAGGTGGCTGCATCTGGCAGCAAGCATGGATGTAAATCTTGATTGTCCTTCAAGAAAAACATTTAAAATTCCAAAAATCTTGACCCTGTATGTGACTGCACCCATTATCCTGTCCACTGCAACTTTTGACTTTTAAAGAAGTGAGGCCAATATTCACTCAAATTTTGTCTGCTGCTAACAAGGAATGAAGGGGAAATTGACAAACCACTATAGGTCAGCTCTCCCTGCCTGTGGCTGGTAATATTGATCTATTCTGGATTGTTGTGGGAAAAATTATTATTGTATATACTCACAGATAAGCCCACCTGTGGATAAGTCAATCCTTGAATTGATAGATGTTTGGGTAGGAGAAAGTAGTACGATAGAGTAATCATTCCATGGGACGTGCTGGTCTATTGGAAAAGCAACCTAAATGTAGAAGTAACCCACACAAAAAATATAATAGACTAAAAAAAGAGTGCAGGTTAAGTAGATTTGACATGGCATATGACAAATATTCAGGCATTAATTCACCCATAATTGGAAGATGAACTTTATATCTTTTTTCAGATAGTGCCTCAGGTATCTCTTCCTGCAACTGCTGTCCAGTATATATAAATGCAAAAATCTATGAGTTCAACTCCCAGCAGAAGTTTGAGCTCTCTACAATAAGCTCTGGTTATCTGTGTCTGAAAAGTCCCAAAGAGGATAAAACCGGTCACATGACTCCTGGTGGGTTGCGTGACTGAATTGAATGAACTGAAAAACATATCCTCTGCTTCTAAAATTGGTCAGGCCAGCAAGCATATTCACAAAACCTAGTTATCTTGATGGATTATGTGTATTTTTTTTATTGCCTACATTTCAAACTTCTGTGATAAAGAAATTCTATGAAATCACGCCAGTTTTTCATTTACATATATACTTATTTTATTCTTATTCTGCAGCTCCCATATAAAAATGAAGTTTCTGTTCTACAGCTGACATTCTGCTCTGCTCCATTTCCTGTAAATAAAGTCCTGACTTTTTTCAATTTCCCTCCATAGATTTAATATTCGAGATAAAACAAACGACTGTGCTGCAATTGGATTAAATTCCACCACCTCAAGATCTTGCTCTGAATTAAACCGCTTCATTTGTGAGGAGAAGGTATAAAAACTCTTTGGACAATGGAAATTCACAGCAAGATATAATTGGAATTCTATCCTCAGCTCATAAACTTTGGCCCTGATAAGAAAGTGAATCTACTGTAATGCAATTAAAAAACTGGAGTGAGTACTCCTCTTCAGCCTACTTCAGGTTACATGGAATTCTGTCTTTAGATCCAATTCCTCCTTGAGTGAATATATCAATCTGTATTATATTGCTGCTTTAAAAATAAAGGTTTCCAAAGGACGTGTGGCTGTTATTTCAAATCAGTAAAATAAATGCCTCTGACTATCAGAGACATTGGAAAACTGAATTACTGTACTATACTCTGCTATACTTAGAGCAAAATATACACATACATTCATTTCAAGCTCTTTCCATGCAAAAGGATTCTCCTATCTTCTGTAGAAGGTTAAGAATTTAATGTTTTAAAGGTGATTTGTTAACAAATCCTGAGTTGTGTATGTTATGTTGCTTTATGTGAACCAGTTGGGTGCTGGTTCACATAAAGCAACACAAAATTAGGACTCTCCACACTAGGCCTACAGATAAAAAGGAAGTCTGGTTGCTTTTGCCTCACAGGAGAAATAAAGACAGCAGTAGGTTGGTTACTGTGCTCATAAACATACCTAAAACAACGGGCCCATTTCTCATATATGTCTTTGCCTTTTATGGTTACACTTTACAAGTTTCGAGTATACAAAATTAATTTGTTTCCTATCTGATCTTTTAAAAGTTGACTTCCCCCTCCTAGAACATGCATACCGATGAACTAGTATGCATACTGATGCATACTAAATGTACTATTTTGGTCTCCTTATATTGGACCTGTAGAAAGGGGCTTTTATGTGTCCCTATAATTTATTTATTTATATAACCTATTTATTTCCACTAGCAAAGAAAGATGTGACAAGGTGAAGCAGCCTAGAACTAAGGAGAAACTTCCTGACAGTTAGAACAATTAACCAGTAGAACAACCTGCCTCCAGAAGCGGTGAATGCTCCAACTCTGGAAGTTTTTAAGAAGAGACGGGACAGCCATTTGTCCGAAATGGTATAGGGTTTCCTGCCTGAGAAGGGGGTTGGACTAGATGACCTCCAAGGTCCCTTCCAACTTTATTATTATTGTTGTTTTTGTTGTGGGTCATCGCACAGTCAGCCAGATGTTCAGACTGGATTTGGCATTTTGTCTATCTATCGAGTCCTTACCAAGGACCTGGGATAGGCAGATATGGATATTTGATGGTATTACAGATGTTGTCACAGGATAGAAGCAGTTCCTAGTAAGGCCGCCTTTTGCAATTGACTAATGGCAAATTTGTCAATACCAATGGTGTTCAAGTGGTACTCCAATTGTTTTGGGATTACACCCAAGACGCCTATTACTATTGGTACTACCCTTGCTTGCTTTTGCCACAGTCTTTCTATTTCTATTTGTACGTCTTTGTATTTTGTTATCTTCTCCAGTTCTTTCTCGTCTATTCTGCTGTCTCCAGGCACTGCCACATCCACTATCCAGACTTTTTTGTCTTTCTTATCAACAATTGTTAAGTCCGGGGTGTTATGTTGCAGGTTCTTGTCTGTTTGTTGTTGTTGTTGTTGTTGTTGTTGTTTATTACTGGGAGAAACACTTGGCTGATTCAGTTTGTTAACTCATTTAGTCCATTCACCCAGTGGTAGTTGCCATCCAGAGCCAGAAGAAAATTGACGTTGCTTCCATCCCACATGGTATCGCAAGACTGGGCAGGTGTGTACAAGTTTCTGAATTGCAGGAAAGATCTTGTGTGGAAATTCTCACTGATTAATTTAGCTACTTTATCATCCTGGTGACTTCCCTTCCAAAGGACAGAAATAAAGTGGAAGATTCACAAGTAGAAGAAGTTGGAAGATTGGGGGAAAACATGAATTTGCTGGTCTGCCCTAACAAAAAAGATTTCTTTGAAAGACAAGAAAAACAATTGAGGTGTTTTGGTTGGATAATGCAAAATAAATCTCTTAATCAGACAAAACTGTATATAGAAAGCATTCTAACAGAAATGCCTTAATCATAGCATAAGAAGGAACTATATATTGCATCATAGGAATGGCCTGCACATTATTTAGCGTAAAATTACACATTTTTGCTACGACACAATGAAGCAATAAAGGTTACAAAAATTGATGTGATATTTTACAATGGCCTTTAAAACTAATGGGAATGAGCTTTCTTATAGAGACTAGTTTCAGGATTTGCTATATACAGTAGGTAATCAGGATTAACAAAGAAATATTAGATTTGTAATGCCTTTGAATATAGTTATAATGGATAGTTTGGATTTGTTCAAGTGCAGCAGCTTTGAGAGTGGATGCAGATAGCTATTGGATTGCCTAAAGTAGATATTTCCACATTATTTCCTTTGGGTGCATTTATAAATTAAATAAATATTATAACTCCATCCGATGTCTTCAAAACTATCATTCTTTACAATTAGCTGAGAACTGTTTACTGCTCTGAATGACAATAAGTGACTTCACAGCAGAATTAGTTCCTGAATTTGATGTGGCAATGAAACCACAACATCCATTTACCAAGAACAGGTTTCCTTCCTTTTAGGACAAAACATTTTGTTTGATTCTTACTACAAAATCTTCTGATATTGGAGATATTACCACATTATAGCAAACTGCATTAGGAAAACACACACATTGTAGGTCCAGACCCACATTCATTCCAACTACTCAGAGCTACCATCAGAAGGATGACATGTCATACTAGTGCTTTCTTTAACAAATGCTTTATATAGTGCTTCACAGAGCTTTACAGTCCTAAGTTATTTAGAGAGTCAGCATATTGCCATCAACAATCTGGGTCCTCATTTTACTGACCTCAGAAGAATGGAAAGCTAAGTCAACCTTGAGTCAGGATTGAACTACTGGCAGTTGGCCGAGTTAGTCTGCAATACTTCATTCTAACCACTGCACCACCATGGCTCTTGGTGTGCTTTTCAAGCTCCATTATTAAGACAGCAGATTTAGTTCCAACACCTGCATATACTCTGAAGAAAAGTGTGTTAGTAAATTAATTGTAACAACTTGTAGATAGATTCAAAGTGTGTTGTTACAGAATTAATTAAGTCATTGCTCCAGGTAGTTTATTACCACTGTCTCAAAATGGCAGTACTTTCCCATGATCTGGGTCCTTAGCCCTGCCATCAGTGATACTGCAAGTAACGCCAGGATTGAAAAGTTGATGTTTTATGGACTTGGCTTTTAGATAAGGGATTGGATATGAGATGAAGCAATATCTGTTTGTAACCTTATAAGGGATGAAGAGTTACTAAATTTGTCTTTAGTTGTTGTAATGAAGGTTGGAAGACACTTGTTCGTGTATTTTTACTTTATCATATTCTTTTTTCTTGTATTTCTATGCTTTATTACTATTTTTTCTTTAACTTTGTTTTAGTTTTTACAATTGTAATCAAAATGTTTAATAAAAAATATTATATGTCAAAATATTAGCAAATTTGTAAACAATTATTGTACATTAAATCAAGCAAAAATATTAATAAATGTCTTCAAGGAAAACATTTTGAATGTGGCAGAATCAACAGCAGTATATAAAACTGACCAGTCAGAATAATGAATGAAAAATCGGAAAGATAAACTTCTGTATGGTCAGTTGCTGAAAGAAAAGGAAGATGTGGCCAACAGAAACACAACTTGGCTTCAGATAGATTCCATCAAGAAGGAAACTGAAGGGTTAATATTCTCTACACAAGAATATTAGCAAGATTAGCCAAAAAATGCCATACAAAATAGACATCCAAAACAATGGAAACTGCAGGAAATATAGATTATGCAAAAAGAAAACACCCACTAAGTGGCTATAGTAAAATTGCCCAGGCAGCTTATAAGATCAAACTGCCCATGGGCCGGCAGTTTGACACCCCTGGTCTATAATGTTGAAAATTCCAGATGTTCCAGAATAACCATGGAAAAATGTCAGGAGACCTCTGAATTCAGAGGAACTGGCATTTAGATCACAATATGTTAGATGTCAAAGCAGTTGAAGCAAAGCAAGTTTTTTTTTCATAAAAAGCAAGGTTTTTTTTCATTTTCAATCTGGATTGACTTGGATTCATGTGTTCAGCTAAACACAATATAATTTTGTAAACCATGGCTTTTGACTCAGGAGACCATAGTTAAAGAAATCCAAGTTTAGTATGACGTGGATCCTATGACAGTTCACAGTCACCTTGCAGTATTTTTAGGAAAAAGAACTTGCTCTTTGGGGGATCCTGAAATAGCCACCAAAGGCAAATATGTTCACATAAGCCTGATTTGGTCCCTGCGAAATCTCATTCAGCTATTGGGAAAGAAAGAGGGAGAACATAGTCATATATGAGTTTTGTATCTTTTTTCAGATTACCTTCTATCTAGATTCCTACTGATTAATACATGGGTGTCAAACTTGCTGTATCATATGACGTGTGGTGACGTATCACGAATTTTTTTGCATTGCTGGAGCTGGGTGGGCGTGGCATCCCTATGAGGCAGGCAGGCAGTTTGACACCCCTGGATTAGTATCTCACCTCTTCATAATTTTCTATTCACATAATTGTAGAGAGATTTCTATATAGGAAGAATGGTCTTGATGCAAAATCCTTGCAGCTTGGAAATGATTTCCATTTCCCCCCCCCTTACAGTATAAAATGACATGATGATCTTGATTCAGCAGCAAATATAGTAGCTTATAGTAAATGAAGGAGTGAGATCATGAAAAGATATACGTATTTTATTAATCAACAAGGTCTGCTATTTACTCAGTCTTCACTCCTAGGCAGCCCAGCAAAGGATTCTTTCAATCAATTAACATAGGTCTTCTCACAAATCCAGCTGAATTCATCATAGCACGATACTGGACTCACACCTCCTGCCCCAATAGCAGCACAGTCTTTATCCATTGTTGTTCTAATTGGAAAGCTGTCAACAAGAGCACATTTTTTTTAAAAAAAATCTGAGTTTGGTTCAAGAAATCTAGTAATGTAAAGCATGTAAGATTAATATTAAAAAATATTAATCTTTACAACTCAAACCATTCATTTTTGATAGATTGTGAAGGAATATGGAAAGAAAGAAAGAAAGAAAGAAAGAAAGAAAGAAAGAAAGAAAGAAAGAAAGAAAGAAAGAAAGAAGCTAAAATCCGACATATGCAAAGAAACCAACATGGGAGATTAGCTTTTAGAAAAGAGCAGATTTAAAATGGCA